AAGAACACAGCGTGTCTCGTTTCTACAAACTTCGTATGTCTGTCAGGATAATAGAAGCGATAACCTTTTGACTTTTTTGGATAGCCAATGGAATGACAACTGACTGTCTTGGAGTCTACCTTCCTTATGTTTGGGTTAAAGACTTTAGCCTTAGCTGGACAACCCCACACACGTAAATAGTAAAGTGAGGGTTTCTTTTCTGTCCACAACTCATATGGTGTTTTGGGCACCGACTTGTTTGGCACTCGATTAAGAATATGAATGGCGGTTTGTAACGCCTCCATCCATAAACTTATTGGTAGAGTAGAGTAACTTATCATACTTCTCACCATATCCATTAAGGTACGGTTGCGTCTTTCAGCTACTTCATTCTGCTAAGGCTCGCTCGGTGTAGAGTACTAGGCAACTATGCCAGTTTCCTGTAAGAACCTTGCAAAAGGTTCAGGAACTTGGACATATAGGGTGTGTCGACCGTAGTACCCCCCCCCGATCAGATCTTACTATCTTATTCTTTAAATTGTGCTGATTTTCTACTTCAGCCTTAAATATCTTAAATTTATCTAATGCTTTTGATCTTTCCTTAATTGGATAAATATAGCCATAACGAGAATAATCATCTGTGAATGTTATAAATGAATCATAACCATCCACACTCTTCAAAGGAAAAGCACCACAGATGTCTGTGTGAATTATTTCTAAAATTTCTACGCTTCGTTTGGCATCTTTCTTTATTTTCTTAACAAACTTTCCTTTTATGCAATCAATGCATTGTTCTAAATCTAAAAATTATAATGACGAAAGAATTGATTTCTTAATCAATTGCTCTATTCCCCCCTCGAAATATGGCCTAAACGACAGTGCCATAATTTCGATGATACATCATGAACTCTCTTTCGCTTATTTCTTGCATTCATAGATGAGGAGATATTCTCATTCTCATTGCTCACAACATTCACATTCTCAGAAAAGTGATAACAAATAAAGCTTGTCTTGTTGGAAGACAAGACCAACACACTTATTATTAAACACAATATGATATTTGCCATTATCAAAATGGCAATCATATCCATCATCGTCTAGACGTGAAACACTTATCAAATTTCTACGAAAAGAGGGTACATAAAGGACATCTGAAAGCTAAAGTACAAAACAATCATCTAATTCTAGAGAGAGATCTCCAATGGCTTCAACTTCATTTGCTACTTTAATTCTTCTTTCTCCTCTTTATAGGGTTCTCCTCGTATGGAATCCATGTAATGAATTTGTAACATGAATAGTTGCACCTGAATTAATCCACTAAGTAGATTTTGCATAACTTAAATATAAGAACTCATCTATGAATGTAATAAAGTCCTCACCTCTCTTCAAAAGGCTCTTCAAGAAATCTGGACAGTGCCTCTGGTAATGTCCATACTTCTTGCACCATTTGCATTAATCCTTATCAACTTGGGCATTGTTGTTCTTCTGATGGTGGTCATTCTGAGGGGCTTTTCCTTGAGGTTTGGCATTCTTGTTACAATTCTTCTTTTTATTGTCCTTCACATTGTTAGCAGAGTCACCATGTGAGCTTTTAAGCCTCTCCTCTTCTTGCACACACATTGCTATGAGCTTCTCAATGTCTCATTTATCGGGCTGTATGTTGTAATTAACAACAAAAGTTTCATACTATTTAGACAATGAAGCAAAAACCAAATGAATCAGCAACATATCCTTGAGCCCCAAATTTATTGGCTTGAGCTTGAAAGCCGTGTTGCTCATCTTCAATATGTGTTCTCTTATCCCTCCACCAGAGTATTTTTCATCGAATAACTTCTTTATTAGGGTACTGACATAAGCCTTTGAAGAGCCAGTAAACCGACTCTCCACTTTCTTGAGATACTCAGCGGCGGTGTCACAATCTAGGATTGACCCCCTTATTGCATCTGAAATAGTGGACTTAGCCACCATCAATCACTTGCGGTTCGAAATGTCCCATTTCTTACGATCAAAATCGTATTTCATTCTCACTTTTGTATGATCTCGCTGCCGAGCAGTGAAATCAGCATCAGTTTCATTTTCTTCCCTCATCGGATCCACTGGCTCAGTAGGACACGGAGAGGTAAGCGCTAGGTCATTTTCGCACAGCGCAAATGCTAATTCATACTTCTCTCGCCATACACGATAGTTGCCCCTTCAAGAGACGGAATGTGCGAGATGAATGCCATAGGGTTAAGTCCTAAAAACAGCGTCAGAGATAGTGAGAAAATATGACATAATAATTGCATGCCTTAATTTAACGTTGGTCAAAATTAAAACATACAACATTATTCTACATTAATTTTACATCACCGTTAGGCAAAAATAGAATTAATGCATGAAAAAACTCATGAATACAAAATTATAATATTGCTACTATCAACGTTGGTGAGAAAAATAACAATATCATAATTTACTGAATAAAATTAACTGCTCTTCAAATTAAATCCTCCCGTTGGTTCGAATTTAATTAGAAGATAATAAACATCTATTTTGCAGCGAAAACATGAAAAATAATTTATATACTTTTTAGGAGCATTTTGAGTACTTATCTACTCTCTAAAAATTAAACACGTTGGTGCAAATTTATAGAGATAAAAACTAGATAAAACATGTTGACAAAAATGCTACTGAAGAAAGAAAAAATTAAAGCTGTTATCTACTATTCATCACTAGGACGGAGTTAAATTAGCCCACGGCCTATTCGCGATTATGCGCATTTTGTGCACGGCTCCAACTTGGGCCTAGAAGGGATTCTTCTCTCCGCCTAGGCCATGAATTGCACTATGGCGTGGCTGCGAGCCGTCGATCGTGATAAATCGGTCGCATGGCGCGAGGATAGGAGGAAAAAAAACCTCTCCCGGCCGCGCCCCCAAAACCCTAGGGCTCACTCTCTTTTCTCTGCTTTTTCTCTCTTTCCCACCCTACACACCACAGTCGCCGCAGGAGAGACGACTCCAGGACTGGCGCGATGCAGGAGATGGCGCCGCGTGGCACCCCTCGCCGGCGCACGCCGTGGCAACGACCTAGCTTGATCGCTGCATCTGCATCACTAGCACGGGAAACTAGATTAGTCCACGCGATTATATATTACAATAAACAAACTATCGATATTTAAACGGTGCCAACCCTGACCCTGCTGCATGATTGTTGCCTGATCTATCGATTCGAGCGGTAGTCCTCCTGTTGCTTGAACTCGAGGCGTCATTTGGTCAAACTCGCGTCAAAATCATAATGTGAACTCAAATAAGCTAATAAACCGTGGGTGGGAGTGGGACGCATGGAATGGAACATCTGCAAGGAGCAGCACGAAGAAACCTGAGCAGACGACCCTCGACAAATGCTGCGGTGCGGTGGCCGGAGAGATGCCGCACCACACACTCGCGCACCGATAGGCTCGAGAGGTTTCACTATCCATCTCGCCGCAGCCGCCACCATTGCCGTCGTCGTCGCGGCGGCCGCGCGCGCGATCTCGCCAAACCGAACCTTTTCCGCCGCGTGCCCGCGGCACAAAAGTCGCGCGAGAAACAGCCAGCCAGGCAGCCCTCGCGTCAAATCAGGTGAAACGCGCACGAAACCGGAGGCCGCGGCCGTGGTCCGACGGATCACGGATGGATGGATGCGTGTACACGTACGCCGTCGCATGCCCGGCGCGGTCCGCGGTCGGCCCGCCCGCGACCAACCTCGTGACCTGTCCCGCTGTCCCGGTCCCTGCCGTACAGCGGGACAGTGGCCTCGCTGGCTCGATCGCCGCCCGAGGCATGGCTGATGGCTCCGGCTCCGGCCGCTCGCTTTCGTTCAGACTAGTGACCAGCAAGCCAGTCCAGGCATCTCTCGCCGCCGGCGGTGGTCGCCTCGCACCGTGGCCCGCGGTGCCTCCGTGGCCGTCGGATCGGGATCGGGTGGAGAAGGCTTCGGTGAGGCACCGGCGGGGTCAGGCTGGCGTCAGCCGGTGCGCGCAGCTGGGTCAGAGGAGTGGGGACGGTCAAAGCGGCACGGACACGTGGCGGTGAGGCTGCGTTTGAACGGTTTGACGCAGCGCGGTGGTTTGCCCTACGTGACCGGGTGCATCCGGTAGCCGTCGCTGACTCACTAGATGCGTTCGTATGCGACCGTGGACCCAGTTGCAATCCCCGCTGCTGTGGTGTTGCTTGCTTCACTGTTGATAAATGACTTTTTAGAAACAAGACAAACCTTTGTCTGAAACAAACAGCTCCGCAATTGGTAATCGGTGCAGTGAACACCACATGACAAGATTATACTACTACTAGAAGGGCCCCTTTTAATTTGCCGAAACACACCAAGGGAGACAAATTCGGCTCAAAATTCGCTCGCAAATAAATCCCACGTTCGCTTCAAATGAAGCCTACGATTATTTTTTTGAGGGAAATGAAGCCTAGGATATGGAGTTCCCAAGTATATGTACAACTAGTGGTATGTGATCCACAAAAGACAGGAAGTTTGACATGTTCCATGTAGTCCAACCATTTGATAAGAGATGTGCGTGGTAATAAAGTCCACCAGTATAAAAGAATTGGCACCGGCTACTATGCTCTCTTGCGAATTGGTAAAAAAGAGTGTCTGGTATGTTACTATAACTTAAAGAAAAGTTACAAGACGAATCAAATCAATCCATTAGGTTTAAGGAATCCCACAATTTAATCAACTCCACTAGTCATTCAACCGGAGCCCTTATTAGCCAGCCCAGCCCTCTCACCCAACCACCCATCCATCCGTCTCCGTCTCCGTCTCCTTCTCCTGATCCTTTTCCCCCGCGCACACAAGATCACACTCTACAAAGCTAGCTCCCTTGCTTACACACCTCTCCCTTTCCTCACCTTCTCTCTACTGCGGCCGCCGCTAGCTGGAGCGATCTATATGTGAAGAGAGACCAGCACCCGCGCGCCGCTCAAGATCACCGGCAGCTCGATCGGAGGTTTGATCTGAGGTAGCCAGCAGCCGCTCCTGCCGATCCATCTCCATCCATGTCGGGCGCGAGGCATGAGCACCACCTGTCCGGGGACTTCCAGTTCCACGACGAGCTAGCGTCGCTGTTCGCGCATCAGCGGCCCGACGCGCCGATGGCGCAGCAGCTGCAGCAGCCGTGGTTCATGGACTACCTGCACGCGACCGCGGCGGCGGCCTCGCCGCTGGACTGCGACGCCTTCGTGGGGAACTTCGACGACGTGCCGCCTGCCGCGGACGAGGTAATCAAGAGGGAGCTCGTGGTTGTGGACACTGCGGCTGCCGGCAGCGGCGTCGGGACGACGTCGGCGGTGCCGCTCACGCCCAACAGCATGTCGATGTCGTCGACGTCCAGCGAGGCTTGTGGCGCCGGGGCTGGAGCGGGCGAGGAGTCGGCGGCCGGCAAGTGCAAGAAGGAGGATGGCGACGGGGAAGGGCACGAGAGCAAGGACGACGGATCGGCCGCGGCCAAGGGAGACGGGGAAGGAGAGGAGAAGAACAAGAAAGGGTGAGTTAGTTCGTTCATCTGATCAGATTTCCATCACCTCTTCATCATCAGAAAATCTATTTGTCCCGGATCTTGGACTCTTTTTATTATGTATATATATATATATATATATATATATATATATATATATATATATATATATATATATATATATATATATAATATATATATACCATATTAGCCTCATACCATTTAGTTAAGGTGCTTGACGATTCGCCAAGCTTTTGATTCTAGCTTCATCACTGCGAAAAGTTTTCATCGGATTTGTCGTCGTTGATCTTTTAGAACATGCATGAATCATTCAAGATCTGGAGCAGGTTTATCTGGAGTAATTTCTCTCTGGGCCGATCTTGCTTGTTCACTTGTGTGAATCCCATCTCACACATGCATAGCATAATACTAGTGTTCCTTTTCATCCCCATCTTTGATTTGGACAAGGTGTGAACCCTGCTAGAGTGCTAGGGTTTCTCATTTAGTATACGCTGCTTGCTGCATGCCCAAGAAAAGAAAACAAAAAAGGACTTGATCTTTGTATAGGGTACGTTCTATACAAAAGTTGTTCGGTGTTTGTTTCAAACATCTTTTTGCTTCACTCACAAATATATCGGCTTTGCTTTCCTCCTGGATTTCGTCTTCCTTGTCTTGGCATCTACCTCCAGTTTGACTGCACCAACTGCTGCCGTTTTCGTAGTTAATCACACCCGCCCGGAAAGGATTTAAGACCAGCAGATGAATGAGTCGAATCAGTCCAATCAGTAGTCTCTGCGTTGGCCATAAATTGCCCAACCGATTCATAAATTTCGTCGAGACTTGCTTTTGCAACTTCCCCTTTTGCTGCGACCTGTGACGATGACGGATCTCCAAATCCCAGCAGAGCGAAAGTTAAGAACACTACTGCAGGTGAGTTGCAGTGTGAACCTGTCAATCTGAAAACACGTATATGCGTGCGCCGGACCGTACATACGTAGCTAGTCTTCCACGACACCCATGCATGTTTGAATGGGCTAATAACTGATATATAATCTTAATTTGTGTACGTACTAGTTTGTACTAGTAGTATGAACGCAGCATGTAGCACACCAAACGCATGCGTTCAAATGAACACAGCTCTGGCATGTAGCACACTACCGCCATGTTTGAATAATAGATTGATCAATAATGCAAGTTGGCATTTGTGTATGATCGTGTGCAGGGCGGCGAAGGGCAAGGGCAAGGGCGAGAAGCGGCCGCAGCAGCCACGCTTCGCGTTCATGACCAAGAGCGAGGTCGACCACCTCGAGGACGGCTATCGGTGGCGCAAGTACGGCCAGAAAGCCGTCAAGAACAGCCCATTTCCGAGGTACGTATATACATGTGTCATGTGTGTAGTGTGTACATTGTGTTAAGTATTCACCGCGTCAGGCGTCGACAAATTAGGGTTCTCACGACGAGCGAGGGATTGCAATGAGCACGATGATGTACTGACTGATGCAATGCAATGCATGGGCAGGAGCTACTACCGGTGCACGACGCAGAAGTGCCCGGTGAAGAAGCGGGTGGAGCGGTCGTACCAGGACGCGGCGGTGGTGATCACCACGTACGAGGGCAAGCACACGCACCCCATCCCCGCCACGCTGCGCGGGAGCTCGCACCTCCTCGCCGCCGCGCACCACCCGATGAGCGGCCTCCACCACGTGCACCCGCACTTCTGGATGGCGCTGCCGCCGCCGACGGCGCTCGGCGGCGTCACCGCGGGCCTCGGCGGCTTCAGGCCCGGCGGCGCCAACGCCTTCGACGACGCGCTCGGGCTCGGACTCCTGCAGCCGCCGCAGCAGCAGCAGGGCCGCCACCACCACGGCGCCGCCGCCATGCAGCAGCTGGCCGTTAGCGGTGCCGCCGGAGTGGAGCAGGTGAACGCCGCCGCCGCCATGGCGAGGCACGCGGCGCTGCCTGATGGTGACGACCAGCACGGCTTGGCTGCCATCGCAGGTATGGCTGGTACTACTACGGCGGCAACTACTACCGCCAGAGCTCCGCTCCGGATGCAGCACTTCATGGAGCAGGACTATGCTGGGCTCCTGCAGGACATGTTTCCATCCTTCGTTCACAACGACGACGATGGCCACCATGACAATCACCATTGATGACTGAGAGTTTTTTACGCTTTAAACGATCGATGGTGACGACGACGATGACGGCCGATCGATCGGGAGCTAGCTAGAGATTTGGTTGCTGTTAACTTTTTGGTTCGTGGTATCGTTGTACGATGATGTGATCTGAGGTAGCTAGTAGTAGTAGCATCAGTAGTAGTATAGGACGGGCACCTATCCGGTACTAGCTAGGAGTTTGTTGTACATGTACCTGATTCCTAATGAACTCATCAAGCTTTGCACTTAATTTCATCATTAAGCTGGGCCGCTGGAGGCAGGCATGCATGTAGTACTGTACTGTTGAGCAGTCGCAGTATTCTGGTACGTCGGTCTATTCTAATTATGCCATTTAGTTCCTTTAATTCTCATGACAGCCATATATGATCATGCATGTGTTGTTCATGCATATATGCATATATATCGTCATGGCATACGTCGTCGTGAATGTGAAGAGCTAAAAATGAAAGAAGAAAGAAAAAGAAAAGGAGCCATGCATGTAAGGCGCGCGCGCGCACCCAAAGTACTAATTGATGTTATCGCTTTGACAATGCGAAGACGATTAGTTCCCATGCATGTAGTAGTGCGCCATGGAGTATTTGACAAGAAATATAGGTTACACACGCACTTAAATCTGAACGAACCAACTTATATTGGAAGTTGCATATTTCAGATGACAGTTATTGTATATATTTTATATTAAATTTATAGTTTTAGTTCGTTGCACAATATATAATTTTTGTTTCATCGAGAATAAAAAAAACCGTTACACAAAATCACAAACCCAACAAAATGTGATTCGTATTGTCACAAAGATAATTAATAATTTATAATTGTTTCTAGAGTCATACAAGGACAAAAATGTAATATGTTGTGACACAAAGACAAATAACAAACCACAAAATTAATACTCCAAACAGTCTGCACAATACTCCAAACGCAAAAGTAAATTCATGCACCTAAAATATAGAAGTACGTGTATTATTATTGCCATTACTTTTCCTTGTGCAACATATATATACTCCAATCAGTCTGCACAGTACTCCTAATAGTATGGTTCTCTGGGATATTTATATATGGACTTTTAGCATGATTTAATAATTGCATTAAAGTCATCAGCGTGGACGCAGGCGGGAGACGCGCTAAACACGAACGCGATTAATAGTTAGGGCAGCTAGCTAGGCTAGGAGTCGCTCGCTTGGCCGGAGCAGCGGTTGCACCGGTCATGGGTCATTAATCGTCCTCGTCGTCGTCAACAGGCGGCGGCCGGATGCCTTTGAACCAAAGGAAAGTCAGCTCCTTCCACAGGCCAAAGCCCACACACATCCATGGGTGCATGACGACAGCTAGCCGCAGCTAGCAGCGACGATCGGAGGGCTTCATCCATCGCCACAGCCCACAGGTTACCCTGCCTATACAAATGAAGTAGGAGAGGCTTACGTGATTCTCACAAAAAAAAAAGAGGCTTACGTTATCAGTAAATAAATTTTGTCGGACGTCGTCACAACCAATCGGGATCATTAAAAATCATCAGACAAAGTAAAAAATATCAAAATTGAATTTCAATAAATATACACACAATACGCTAAAAAGGATGTATAAAGATAGATTATTTTCTATCGGCATCTACAGATAAACAGACTCAGAATATATAGAAGTAGACGGCCGGGCAGGTCGACCGCAGAAGGATGGGTAAGTTTTTTATTTTTTTGAAACGGAGGTAAGTTTTGTTTGTGCATTGATTGAGCGGGGATGGACTCATTCATGGACGGATTAATCCGGTCAAATGACTGACCTGGGCACGTGTTAATGCCCGGACACGGACAGGGATCGAAACCGACGAGAGAGCAGCAGGTCAACCTTGCTCGATCTCGCGCGTAGTACGCGTCAAACGCCACCGCCACCAGATTTATGCCGCGGCAAGGACACGCGTCGCTGCTACGCCCCGGCCGGCCCGTCGATCGCGTTTTAGCTAGAGCGGTTATTAGGCGCCCTCGATCGCTAATCCTTCGCGCCAATGGCGAGGATGGCACATGCATCGTCCGCGGGTGGGGGCGTTTTTTTGGGGGTTTCCCATAATACGATCGAGCTGGAGAGCTGTGACGGCCTGACGGGGGGAGGACGACGGAGTCGGAAGCTGGGTTCGCAAGCCACCGGCCGGCGCCAGCGACCGGCGGCCGTGAGCTTGTGCGTGGCGTGGATGGATCGGCGACCGGCCATGCATGGACGGCCGGTGGCGACCGAGCGCCCGGTCCCGGCGCCT